TAGACAGCAGCACCACATTCTCCAGCTAGTCTGGCCTGGTATCACAAAATATGATTAGTCCCAGCCCTGTGCTACATATCAGGCACAAGAGCTTCACTAGCACAAGGGTGAAGAAGGGGAAAGGGCTGGACACATTCTTGCCTTCCTGAGTGCCAGTGCTCCATTTTCTCCCCCAGTACTTCACACACATACCATTACTTCCCTCAAACAAACAAACAAACAAAAACCCCCAGAAAATCTTATTTGTTTTGGATTCATTGGGTATCTAACAGGTAATTTGGGTGCCAACTGCTGCTCTGGGTGCACAGAGAACTGTTGTCTTGGAACATGTAAGGCAGTGAGAAAAGACTCTGAGAAAGATTTCTTCCAAGGACTTCACTGACCTTCATCTTAAACATTAAATGGTATTACAAGTGGCATGTCTGTATCATGAAAGATTTAGCTGGCAAAGCCTTATCATCACACTCACTATCACCAATTTTCATTTAAATTTGGTACCCAGGTTGATGAAATATATAAAAGCTATCCAATTTAAAAAGGAGCACTTATATAATTTCAGAAGACAAATTTGAGATTGCATTTGAGACTACCTAGTGGGAGCTTGGGCAAAGGTCTTGGTTGGCTAAAGGTTTTGCAAATAGCTGAAGTTTTGTGTAGTGCTTGATTTAGTGCCTAAAAAAGGAAAATGAACTCTACCACGTGTGTGGACAGATTTCCTACTGACAGTTGGGCCTGCTTCTCAAGAAAATGCTACTTAAAGTGAGTCACAAATTTAAGAGCTGGTATGGGTTTTGCCTTTGGGTTTTTTTAAAAGCCCTCTGCTCTGTGAGAGATAACAGGACCATCAATTTTTTGTGTGCTTACTCTATTTCAGTGACCAGTGCCAAAATTACACAGATTGTAAATAGGCCACAATCCCATGGATTTACAAATGAGGGTAATGAATCTGCCAACAAACCTGAAGTTAACTACCTAGCACATACTTAACAGGGACCTAGAGGTAACCAGATACCACATAAACCTGACAGCAATAGTCACAAGTGCCACATCTTATAAGAGTGGCTTACAGATCACAAAAGTGAATCAAAATAGGTCTTTGTTAGAATTGGGATGGCAGGGGGCAATTAAAGTGGGGATATTATGATTATGATGATACTGGGAAAGCAACTCAGAAAGTTACTTCAGATTTTATCTTACTGTCTTACATGTAAGGCACCTTCAAGTTCACTTATTTTGTTTATCTTTCTTCACTATGTCTCACCTATTTCTTTTTACAGCACTTCCACAAAGAGAAAGAATAAATCACCTACTATGTCACCACTATTTAACTTTTTTGTAAAAGGCTTCTAAAAGGATGTAACTGAAGATAGGAATTCCAAGACTAATAAAATTTTTTTGCTACATTTAATACAATTTGATTCATGCCATACACAGCATGCCTGATTAAAATATCAGGTGTTTCTATCCCTTCAGCTGAAGGGTGTCTTGTCTGTTATAGGACTCCTTTTGTCCTTCAATTTTACAAGTTCCAGACACAGCTCACAGATCACATTCACTAAAGCATTCAGCCATTTAAGACTTTGCCAAATTGCACTGCTTCAATGCAGAAGTTACTTGGCTTAGATATATCTTAGAAGTTAAGGTTCCGTTGTCACATTTTTCTTTTTCACCTACAAGTAGTTCTGTTTATTCCCAACTCAGCAGCCAACTATTGATTAAGTTGGCTGAGGTCAGTCCACCCTGCAGTTCCAGCCGCAATCCTTGCATTGTTTTCCAATAGCTTGCTTTATTGATTTAATGTTCTTGGTTTTGACTTTAGAATCTTGCTTTTAGCTTTAACTCTGTCCTGTGTTCTTTGCTCAAGTTTTATTGTACTGTTACCTCAAACTGTCCAAAGAAGTTGCAGTCAAATGTAAAGATGTGTCTGCTGGGTTAGAAGGGAACAAACTAAATTAGGCAGCAGTAAAATGGCACACAGAGCCTGTCACACACTAGCTTCAGAATACATATTTTTCAATCTAAGTGTATATTATGCAATATCAAAAACAATCTTCATAACAACCACTGTACCACTTCTTCCGCTGTACTAAAACTTTCAGGAATCACTGATCCCCTCTGCATAGCTCACTTGGTGGCCTTTGATAACTGAATTCTTAAAATGTTTTCTATCTATGTGGATTAATTAAAGACAGCAGTCCAATTGTTTACCATCTCACATTTTGTTGAATTACATTTGTGCTGAGAAAATGGTAAAATCTCAATATTCCTCTTAGGTAGAACTTCTACTCGCTTTGTCCTGTGGGGAATCAGGCATTCAAATCAGAACTGAGGTGTTTCTGTGAGACCCCTACCTGTGAATCTGAGGGCAGAATGGGTCCTCTACAACATGGATAGTTCCATATATGAATTTGCATTTTGCAAAAAATCCAGTGGTAGTTACTTTTGCAGTTCTGTACTACGCTTCTGCAGCTGAAATTAGCATTCTGTCAGTGCATTCAGTTTGTTCTATTTTACTGAAAAAACTGAGATATTTGTGTGTGAGGAGTTCTAAATATATATTTCTTCATTGAACTAAAATATTGTTTGGGTTGGTCAGTAAAAGCTTTCAATAAATGTATGCTTATGAAAATGTTTATTTCTGCAAAAAGAAATATTCCATTATTTGTGTAGCTGACAGTCAGCTTTGTTGTAGTTCCAAATGAAAAAGGGAGTATGTTGATTGGAGAAAATACAGCTATGTTCCATCTTCCTCCCCTGCTTCAGTAAGAGAAGAGCATTTGCATATTAATTCTAGGACTGAACAGCTGCATTCCCTAGAAAGCTCCATTCATTGCAGCACTGAGCCCCTGAAACCAGGCAGGAGGGGGAAAAAAGAAAAAGAGAAAGAAACAAAATACAAGAAAGAAGGAGGCATAAAGCTTAAGGTAGACAGAGACACTGATTTTGCAGTTCTTTATTTCCAAAGGAGTAGTTTTCATTTTAAGGACTGCACGCAGACATTTCCATATGGGCTATCACAAGAGTATTCCAACCATCTCAGGAGCAAAAGGAATACTCTTATTTCCATTTCATAAAAAGGCAAACAGAGGCATAATGGGATTATTTACTAGGCTTAGAAAACTATTTACCTATAAATTTAAGTCTCAATTCTATGTAAGAGCCAGGTGATTTGCCCAGGATTACACAAGAGCCATGGCACAGTCAGAAATAATTTCCATCTCTAGCTCCCACTTCCATGTCTTATCCTTCACAATACAGATTCATGCTTTTGTCTTCTCTACTGTTTTATTATGTTATGTAACTTTAAAATATACTGAAAGCAGAGATACAGAGTTGTTTTGACAAGAACTGCAACCAAGGCTTTGGTTTGTTCTGCCCATCTGCAAAAATTGTGAAGATGGAAGACAAAACCTTCTGTGAGGCACTGAGCACTAACGGTACCATAAGTTGCTATGTCTGAAGCACAGAATAATATCGACAGCAAGAAAAAAGTTATAAATTTTTGTCTTAGATGGATACCATTTATGTTTTCTGTGAACGGTGTCTGCAGCTGGTGCTTGCCTCTGTGATCAAGAGATGTGAAAGAAAATAAGTAGCCTCCCACAATGCTTCCGAGAGGATTGGTGGGAAGCAGGAAAATCTCTCTTCACTCACAGGACATGTCATACTTAATCTTCCTGGCATCACAAGTGTAAACTCAGGCCAGAAATGTTATATTAGAACAGACTGGCAGAAGTTTTCTTGGTGAGGGTCTATTAAAATAATAACACTTAGCATTAGAAAACACAAAATTACTCAGCTGAAGGTCCAGTCCTGGAAACATTTTAGTACCAACACTGATATGTCCAACCAGATGAACAGGAACTATTTTTATGAGCAATGAAGCTGTAAAATTTCACAGCATATTTATCTAGCTTAAGAGATCCTGCTTCCAAGTTACTTTGGCCACTGATATCTATTCCTACATGTACAAATGCTCCAGAGCCACGTGGCAAATTCAATTAATGCAATTACACAGTCTAAAATAACTCTCCAAAACACTGTTTTTGATTCAGTCTGCTTTAATTCAATCATCAATGTTCTGCTTAATATCTACTAGTAGTGCAAGCAATGACAACAAAATGCTTCATCGCAATGTTTCAAAGGATTGCTATTTATCAATGGTGTAGGGAGAAAAAGAAGCATTATTGGTCTTATTAAATATCATAATGTCTCTTGACCTTAAAGTTAAGGAATTAGGAAACAGCTGTTGTCCACAAGAAGTAACTAAATGTCTTTAGCAGGTTACACTGCCTCCTCCTCAGCAGTTTCACAGCCACCAACTGTATTTGCCCAGTGTCCCACACAGCCTGCAATGTATGGTAGATGGCCATCTTTTCTACAGCTCACAAAGTCCCATGCACAATATCTGATTATTTGCTTCCTTCAAAAATGTGTGCTATGGACTAGCAATAAAAACTAGGAGCTTGCTCAGCTGCTTTCTGGAACTTCCAACAGTGTTTTTATACAGACTTTTGCTTAGTCCTCTTCCCCCATATGTTTTTCTTCTTCTAAATTAAAATTTAATGGAACATTCGAAAGATAGAATCCTAAGTTAAAGGCAAAGTAATGTTTTTAAAGCTTATTCAGCTGCAGCTATGAGATCACACGGTAAACTACCAGGAACTGAAATCATGCAGAGGAGAAATGTCAACTCTTAACAGAAAATGTATTTGAAAGAATTGTGGTTAAAAAGAAAAAGAGGGGAAGGTAAATATAAAAAGAACCCTAGCATTTCCAAAAATGCAACCACCTTATGGCAGCCTTCTAAAAGACTCAGATGAGCTTCTGTCCCACAACAGATTATGTGATCTGTAAAGAAAACATACTTGCTTTTTTTTTTTCTTTCCTCCCATTTTCTAAGAGGAGTTCCTGCTCAACTGGCAATTAGCAAGAGCATTAACAGGGTATCATACTGTGTTCAGGAAAGCAAAACCTGACATAGAAGAGAAAAATCATACCTTCTGCAGAGCCCTTTCACAAATGGTTTTCATATTTGCTGGTTTTCACAATGCAGCATTCCATCTCCTGGAGCATTTTATTGTGAGTAAGGAAGGTTGCTGTAGAACTTCTGCTTTGTTAACCAAAGCGCCCAGGAGTCAGTGGGCCTCAGCTCAATGCACCCAACAGCCATGGTGACATTTCCACAGTTCTGTTCTTCTTCACCATTACTCCTGTAGATTTAAAAAGAGCTGTAATGTTTGACTGTCACATTTGAAAATGATACTCTACATTTCTGCAAAGCTCTTCTATGAATTTTCTACACAAAATCATCTCAACAACTTCAGCCTAAGTATGACAAGTGCAGGAGCTTTCATCAAAATGCCTCAACTCTGTAGTATAAGCCCAGCTTGAAAAACTTCAGCATCAATTACACTCTAAATACACAGAATTTTAATGTTGGGAGCAAGCTTGAATTTTCATCAAACATAAGGCTGAAGTGATGTCTGACTGAGCAGTTCAAGAGGGCTTCTTGTAACTAGAATACCAAAAACATATGTTGCCAGAAATTTGGCTAGAAATAAACATTTCCTATGACACTTAAATGAAAGATTTTTTTTCTTGCCCCAAGTACCCTTTTCACAGTCACAATACCAAGCTAGGTCTAATTAACAGCATTATTTCACTGTTTATGCATTTATTGAATAAATCTTTGAAGGTAAACTAATACAAAACAAAAACCAGACTGATTATTTTATACCAGTTTTAAGGATAAAATTTTATATATAATCAGGTTTCTATGACTATATGGATAATAGAAATTTTAAAAAATCACTAATATTTAAAATATTGAAATAAATAAATCTTGAAGTATTCTTCATCGGTGTTAGTTTCTAAAAGTATTAATTTTACTTAGGAAGTCAAGAGGTCATGGGCAAGTTCCCAGATGTTAATTTAGTTTATTTTTGGGGTTTGCTATGCTTGGATTTCTTTTTTTCTTGGAAGGGAGGACTTTACTTTTCTATTGCGCTCACGAAAAAAAATGTGCTGCCTATTTCACAGTTTCACATCTTAAGCTTCCTGATACCTTCCAGGTATACTCTACTCCTAAAAGACGAGGTCAAAATTTTATGCTTTTAAATTTTTTATATTTTTATACCTTTTCTTTCCTGGGCAATTCATGTTTAATATATGTTCCAGGTGGTTGAAAGAGAAGTATATAGTTTGGCATAGACCTACCACACACTTTTGTCTTGCTGAAGACAAGCATACTATGTTTGTGTCCTTAGCTTAGCTGAATGGCAGATTTATATTGATGTCAGAGAATGAGTAATTAAAAGAGTTATCCTTATCAGCAGTCTTACCTGAAAGATATTAGAGAGGACCAATCATATAAAGCAGGTCTAAATTCCTGCCAGGCTTTTGAACCGAAGCCATTGAGCCGACTGGATTTATGCACCAAGAACTAGCTACAAACTAAACACCATTTCGCTACTACAAAGGAATAATTTACTGCTTTCCCCTGACTAATCCAGATGTCCTGTATTTACCTGTTTTGGCAGAGAGGAAGGGAACTGCTTGAACCACTACCGTTTTCTCTGCTCTATTGCCCACTTTCATATGCAGGACAGTGTCACACAGTCCTCAAGCTAAGGGATGACTTCTGGTCAAACAAGTAATCACTCTTTCAGTTTCCACATTAAGATAGCTGGCCATAAAACAACTTGGATGTGGAAACAGCACAACTGCCAGGAGACAGAGAGTGTTAGCTCCATCTCAGTGCTGCTCTGCTACAGTTATCTGGTAACTGCAGGGTAAACACGCATCTCCCTTTCAAGAAACTGCTCACATACACTTGGGGCTTCATGGTTTTTTGTTTTCCAGGCTTGAATGTCAGAGTTTACACTCCTAAAACTTGGGAAGAAGGGCTTTAAAAAAAATAACCAAATAAAACCAAAGAATCAGGAGACAATCATATATACACGTACACTAGATGATGTTAAATAGAACCATGGCAAAATTTTTAACATTAAAGACACTCTAGGGAGCTATAAGGTCAGGAGAGATACAGATTCCTCAGCATCCAGATGAATAAGCCTGTTCTGTTCAAAACCTGCTTGTCAGGTACCTCACCTGTTGGTTTAACCACCTGATGGTACCTGAGCTGTACTGAGGAGTAAGTGCCAGGAAATCAGTGCCTGGGTTCACATGCAGTTCAAGCATGTCCCCAGCTGACTATATCCACCTCATTTCTGGGCTATTTGGTTCAAATTAGTGTTCTAAAGGACTCATAAGTCTAAAGGACTTAAATATGAAATGAATAGCAAATAATATCATCTTATCACAGTTTCCATGCCAGACAGAAGTAACTGTGGTACACACACGTTAAACTAACATCGTTCTGTTACAGGAAGCTGAGGGAGGATACGTAAAGCAAAAACTACAGACAATCATATAAAGATAATAATCATATTAAGTGATATGAAAATCATAAAGTCCTGATATTACTCATTGCATTTGTGCTACTGTCAGCAAGTCAAGGTTATGGTTCTGAGGCCCAAACTCAGCTGAAACATAAAAACAAGAAAACTTACAAATATACTGGAAACTCAGACAGGTCTTGCATTTTGATCTTGGAACAATAAAGAGATTTTGAAGTGCCACAGAGATATAAAGGACTTTAGATTATTGACACACTCAGTTTAGATGCTACCAATGGAAAAAAAAATCTTTGGAATACCTATATTAGAAGAATAGCTAGACTTTAATTTATGCAAATAATTAAGGTTGCTTAGTGCTTTAGAAGCAATCAGCCACAACAGCAGAATTCTGTCTTAGCGACTTATCTTCTGACTGAGTTGCAAAGTGCACAAGAGATTGTATGCTGGAGCACTGGAGATAGGTGTTTCTCAGTGCTCATTCACTTGTAAACACTGGATATTTCTGTAAAATTGACATATTTTGATCCCTTCCAACTGATTCATTACAGCCCCAGATCAAGGTTTAAGGAAAAAAACCCATTAGCATCTATAGGTACCTCCCCACAGTTAGTTTTATACCAGTAGGAATATTTACTTGAAAGCAGAAATTGTCACAGTCTATAGGCCTATGAAATGAATGTGCTGTGTCTTCTCCCTAATCACAAGCTTCAAAAAAACCCCATGTTCCTATTTTTAAAAATTATTTTTTAAATAAAGAAATAAAAGATCAATTCAAACTCAGAACCGAGGAAATTACCTGTTTTCTATGTACAAGATCTAAAACTGCAAAAGGAATTCTACAGGTGAATGAATATTCTCCCCGTTATTCCACAGAAATACGTTTAACTTTGTATCAAACTTCATATGTAACTCAGATTTTGTTACTTAGCAAATAGTAACACTGCAGTCTTTGCCAAAACACGATCAGATTTTCTTACTAGATTACATATGCTTTACATTACCGGGAGTCTCATAGAATTTTTTTTTATGCATATGAGAGTATTTTCATGATAAATTATAGTCTCATTTAAAGTGAAAGGATTATAACACTAAATATGGTGCAGATGCTATACAAAATTACTGAGATATATCTCAAGACAAGAATGCTTTTTCTCTTTTTCTTTTCTCCTTAAGAAAAGATCACAACCTACTTTTAGGGACTCCTCAAGAATCTGTTATCTGTCAGTACACTCAGGTCCAGCTGCGGGGATAAATGAAAGCTGCCTAGTGCTATGCTCAATTGTCCTTGTGTTACTCCTCCTTCTCATTTTTCCTAACACATTTTTTTCATTTCACATAGAGAAAACCTAAAGGCGATAATTTCTTATCACTGAACTAAGTACTGATGTTTGTGAAAAAAACAAAACAAAATTCAAGTCAGACTTTTAGAGCCTAATGAAGCAAGCAGGAATAGAAGTTACATGTAGGTGTTTCCCAGGCATATCATGTTATTCCTGCCTGCTTGGCTGCTCATCCTCTCCTCCTGCCTGGAGTGCTGGCCTTGCCAATCCACTAGAAGTTTAAATTCAGCATTTCTTTTGCAAGAAGGATTTTTCAAATGCCAAATAGTTTATGTTTATTGTTTTCGTTAAAACAGACTACATGTAATAAACATTTTTATGATACTTTGACCCAGGATTAGTTGATTTCCAATACAATAGGAGAGAGAATAAGACAACAATATAATAAGAAGCACAAAAAAGTGAAATATAGAAGACCTCAACATATCTGAATGCCATTGCAAGTATATGTTTGCATTCCTACACGAGGTAAGATTTAATTTAGAATTCTTTATCAGACACAGTGTAGAAAATTTAGTGATACTAAAGGAAGTCTATTACACTGAAGGGATATTAGTACCTTCTGAGAACTCAAATCCAGCCTGAAAGAAGAGACAGATCTAACTCATTTAATTCTTTTTGCCCTTATAAAGCAAGAAACTGTGATATCAAAAGGGGTAAACAGGACTCCCATCCTCTGAATTAAATCTCTGGAAGCAAAGCTGAGGGTATCTTATCACATTTGTCAGTGACAAGGCAGAGAGAAAGCCTGTAGGCCTGGTTGTACTGCTGCTATCAACTGCAAAATATCAGCAATTTTAAACATCTGAAGTGCAAGGTGTTTGTACTTTAGTACTGCATATACTACTTCTCTATAACCATTTTAAAATAAGTCTTTTATCTTTATTTACTTATCTGTAATCTTAAAAAATGGTGTTGCTTGCTGTTGCACAAATAAACCAAAAAATAAAGGACCATTAAAAAAAAAATTCTTCCATCCCTAAGCTTTGCTTCACAAAAAACTCTGTATTTATATTCCTTCAGAGTCCTCTGACCTAACCTGCCAAAACATAATAACACAAATGACACTTTTTACCATGCTTCTGAACAGAGTGATCTGTGTTGCAAATAAAACTTAGACTTTTCTTTCTGTCACCAAATTCATTTGATTGCACTCATTTGGGGCTTCCCAGGTCCATCTACATCTCTCAACTTATCTAATCTAAATACTAATAGCTTTGCTGTCACCCTGTAAAGCTACCCCAAAGCAGAAAAAAAAAAAACCCTTTTGTAAGCCTGCATATAAGTTTGTGAAGGTGTCAGAGGTGTAAGATGTGTGATTCCATCACCACAGAGCAGAGCAACACTTCCCGCCAAGGATTGCCCACCATGGTTCCCCTCAGAGTAACTTTCAGAAGGATATCTCCTTTCTTATTACCATGTGGCAAAGCACAACACGAGGGCAGGTGTCAGGGTGGCTGAGGACTTGGGAGCCAGCTTAGACCACAGCTGTTCTGTGCAGCCCTTGGGGAGGTCCCGGGCGCTGCAGGCCCGAGGCCAGGCCATGACGCACAGCCCGCGGCCGGCGCCACAGGCCATGGCGGCTGCCGCAGCCCCTCACACAGCCCCTCACGCAGCGCTGCCAGGGTCTCCTCGTGGGGCCATCTGCGACTTAAGGGAAATATTTCATACAGGATATTCACAATGCAGAACTGCATATTACTGCTGTATGCTGACGTAATTATTTGCAGGCTGCATTATTATTTTCTGAAGGAACTCATGGGGCTACAGCACTGCAGCATCACTTTAGAAGTGATTACATTTCAGGAAAACATTTCCTACTTTTTTACTAATTGATAATCAAGCTTCTTACATTCCTTATTATTTTTTTATTCCTCTGTTGAAGAGCACTGAGCCAGCCTTGCCATCATTTCTAAAGTAGGTTTTCATACCTGCAATGTGGTCTAAATTACCATGCAGGGGTGGGGTTGCTGTGTGCTGGTACAGCTTCAAAGGCCAGAACCAAATGCTTCCTTTCTCTGCCCCAGAGAAAAGGGAGGAAAGACAAAAGTTGCAAAACACGTTAAGAACCCTCCCAAACCACACATCCACTAGTTATATGGAATCTTTTACAAGAATACATAAACACCAATGTCCAGAATGACTGAGGATGGAAAAGAAAGGCATGTTACTTGTTCCCTCTGCCACAATGAAAAGACAGCAACAGGTCTCTGGCATGGATTTCAGTGCTTTAAAAACACCAAAATCACTCAGCTTAGAAAATACAATGAGGAGAGCATAGCAACAGACTATGTGAGACTTCTGCCTCGAAAGAGCAGAAAAGAAAGAGAGGCCCCTTTCAGGCTCTAAAGAGCATCTGTACAAAACGTTTTAGTTAGCAACCAGCACATCCAACACTTATATGGAAGAAGGAAATTCCAGCTTGAAAAGCCAATTAACTTCTCTTCCTACTAATGAACTTGATCTAACCTAAACCAGATTATTTGGTTTGATGACCAGAATTTTAACATACTGACTTTGAAGTCTGACCTCTAACAAGTTTCTAATATGTCAGCTCATAAGGTCCATCCATATAATTTTCTAATGTTCCAAATCAATAGGATGTTTTTTACTTGTTTTAAACTGTGCTGTATTTTCATGCTTTAAACTGCCAGATAGCTAGATCAAGTTAGATGTTACTCAATGCAAAATCCACCTCTTACAGATGACAGTCACACAAAAAATACCTCTTCACACATACTGAAGTACAAATAGAAGCACAACTAAACCACAGTTTGAGGAAACGCAAGCCTTTTAGGCTTCTCCTAATAAGAAACATTTGTGTAACATCAAAGGAAAAGTTTTTACTCGGCCAGTCTTTTGTTTCATTCATAGCACACACATGCACAGAGAGGTAAACTATACATGTCTAAGAAAACTTTTCTTTTATTTTACAAATCCTGTGACTTGTCCTGCACACCGTAGCACTCAAGGCATGTAGTGTCACTGACAGTGCTTCATTTATTTTTATGCTACTCCTTCCCTCATCCCATCTATCTGAGACCAGAATACCAGGGTTTTTATTTGTGCACATTTGTAAACAGCTCCTGGCTAGCAAACAGAAGTTAACTGCTAGTGGTTCTCACACAGATGACACAGAAAAGCTATAGAAGAGAAAAAAGGTAGCAATCTCTTCTGTTCTGTTTGAGATAGGCTGTGTTTCAAGACCCTTTGGCAAGTATAATTTTGGATTAAATAGGATGGAAATTCATAATCATAAATCATTGCTGAGTTCTCAGACACCTCAACATGAACTAAGCTTTACATTGTCATTATACAACCATAGACTACTTCAGGTTCAAAGCGACACATACAAGGATCATTGAGTACAACTGGAAATCTGGAGTACTTTCGTTTGTGGTACTGTGCTTCACAGACCACACACACACAAAAAGAACAACCCAACAACAAAAAATATGGCACAGAGTATTTCCTTAAAGTAGAGTAAGAAAACATAAATGGTTTATTGTGTTCATTACTCTTAGAACCACTTTCTCTGTTCCACCAAATCCATCAGATATTACTTTTGCAAAAACCATAGTGACATTGTTAAAACACCCTTGAAACAGAAAATTTTTCAGCAAGTGGTAAAACCTCACTGTGAAAAGCAAACAAAAACTATGGTTCATTTCTATAATTTCCCCATCTGTCTTAAAATTTATTGCAGATTCTCCATTTTCAGTGATAAGACACACCTCCAATAGCTCACTGCTATAAAGCAAGGCTTCTGTTCAAGCAATTGCTTAGATAATCCATGTTCAGCAATTAGGTGGGACTGAAAACACGAGGACAAGAGGCAGGTTGACATGCAAGATAGCACCTTCCTTTCCACTACTGATGCCATTTTTCACACTTACTAGTCTTTTAAACTATCCTTCAAAACTGAATGTAAACTGAAGGAGGGATTCTGTTGCAAAACTGGGACAAGACCAGTGAACAGAAATTAGCAGATGGCAGAACAGAGGAAAAGGAGGGATACACAGAGTTCTGTGAAAGGAAATTTGTTTCAAAATTGTTTTCTTACTGAGATGTTTATAGCTTTTGCAGTCCAAGATAAACTCCCCATCTTACACAAACATCATATTTGCACTGTAGCTCTGCAACATCTGCAATGAAAAACCCAGAAGTTACAGGAATGAGAGCACATGACGTTTTAGTTCTTAATTTAAAAAGCGAACAGAAACTTTTGCCTCTCCTTTGTCACAGAATAAAAATAAATATCCAAACTTGAGGTTCTGACCACCTTTACTATGCTTTTTTTCATGCTGAATAGAAAATCATAAAAACCATGAGATCCTTTAAAGCTGACCTCCTTCATCACATTAAACTTGAAAACCAAATGCTGTGGAACCATTATAAAAGAAAAAATCAGACGTTTGTATTTCCTCATTCAAATGGATACCAAAAAAACAACACTACTGATTCTAAACAATAAGTAAAGTGAAAATTTAAAAAATACCTGGCAATACTTGTCAGAAATCAAAAGCAGCTACAGTATCTTTGTATTGAGCAAAAAGAAATAATAAAAACAGATGTTAGAGCAGACAAAATATCCTGGGTTTAGGAAATGAGACACAGCAGGGATCATGATATTTTAATTGGTCACTACTTCTTCTTGTTTTTTTTTCATTTAAATAATGCATTCTGATATTTGCAATCTCCCTCCCTTAGCTTTGCTACACACACGGAAAAATCATAATTTTGTTGTCTTGATTAGTGCCTTCAAACAAATTTACAGAGGGACATTACGCCTAGATGCTAACACCAGAGTCCTCAAAAACATTTACAAGGAACAGTTTGGACTTGGTAATTTATTTATTTTTGTGAAAAGAAGTCTAGCACCAGCAGTTCTTCCTATTTAAGCTTCCCTTTTCTCAAGTGAACAAGCACATGAAAAGCAATGAGACTGGAGAGAAATGCAGTCTGAGTGAAGGACATACAAGAAGTGACTAAAGACTAATCAAATGGTAAAACTGTACCTATTTCAGTGATTTTCTGCATCATTGTAGTCCTCTTTTCCCCTCTGATGCAGCATTAAAACAGTTCCTCCATATTACTTTCTTCTTTGCACATAGCTGGTACTTTCTGTAACAGGTTTAATAAAATAAGATCTCAGAGTTACTGTACCAATTTTATTTTTATTAGAGAGGTATCATCTTCCAGTGGTACATATACACCCACCACAGGAATACACAGAATATGAATGCAAGCATAGACTGACAGAACAGGAGTGAAAAAAAATATACAGAAAAACATTCCCAGAAGAATCGAAATAGCATTTTTTTCCCCTTCTGATTAACCTAAGGAGAGCCAATTAAGCATCAAAAGTAAGAATAATAATTGAACTTACTGGAATACCTATGTACTAAAGCAACATTTACTTCTGTCAGCAGAAGACTACAACCGATTAGATTTGCAAAAATAGGTTTGAATTCTAGCCCTTTCCCCTTTGAATAAATCCAGTATACTTGTTGGAGCCTCTTGAGACATATAGGTACGTGGAGCAAACTTTCCTGACGTGTAATTAAATTAACTGAAATAAATTACACCTTTAAACTCTTAATAAAATAAAATAAATCCCAAACTAAAACCTTTTTTTAGGGTTCCATTATTTCTTTGTATCATCATCTGAGGGGCTTTCTCCTCTGAGCATCTGGGAGCCATCATGTCAAGCTCCGGATATTAAATGTACATGTAGTTCTCTGCAGGCCTAATGAGTTACAACAGAGGTCACATTCTCCACTGCCCAAATGTAATTTGAACAATTCCTCACAACAAGAATTGTGACACACCTGTGTATAAACACTTCTGACAGTAAAAATGACAGTAAATTCTGCAATTTCTCTTTTTTTCTACAGCAGAAAGATCCAGAATAGCAATGTAGTTTCCCTTATCACTGCTACTATCTGTGGCTTTTTCACATTTACTGCTCCAAGTAAATTTTCTGAGAAAGTTTCATATGTTTTCATAGTGAAAACTTAAGATACAAGATGTGAAATATATTTTGAGAGCCTGGAAACAATCCAGATGCTTCTAAGTAGTACTCTGAAGTCTTGAGATAACAATGGGTTTCTCTAAATTAAAAACAGTGTGTTGCCTTTCAAGTACCTATTTTTTTTTCTCTGCTATAACAGTGAAATTAAGATCAACCCCATATTTCAGGGAAAAGAAGGAAACATATACAAATATTGTTAGATTAAATAAAACATTTCACATATGGATAAATGCTAACTTTCTAGCATGGCAGGAAGACAAGCTGAACAGGATCATTTCTGCCAAAACCATTAGCAAATTGCCTTACGGTGATTGGCTTGGCTGTGAGTCTTAGGTTTTATGGGTTTGAGTCTCAGGCTTTATTTTTTTCCCTCCTCTGTTTTATTTTGATTTTGACTTTCTTTGAGGATGGAGATACTGGGTAGGGGGAGGATCAGGGAGTTACATTAATCCACACATAGCTTGTAAGTTAAGTCATTTCTTCTGGATATTTTGCTACTTAAGTACATCTGGCTTTGTTTAATGTCAGTTTTTTAACTGAACCACATTTTTGCTGCAGTAACCTATAATACAGTAATGAAAAGCTTGAAGGAAGCAGAGGCTAAACACAATTCATCCATTTCTGCCCATTTCACACTCCTGCCACAGTCACTGACTGTGTAAAAGGGGTTTTGTCTCTTACTACTTTCCTGGAAATCGGCAAGCCAGAAATATCTATGTATGTACATACACACACATTTTCACACCACCTAGCTCCTTCTGGTTTTCAGCAAGTACCCTGGTTTTTTGCTGTTTAAAGAATTTTTCTGCATTCTCCACTATGTGACATCATTTACTATTATGTATATCCCCTGCTGGAAAGCAGCCAGCACAGATTTTACTGAACCCCCTTTCTCCTTCTCACCACAAACTCATTTTCAAGCCCTTCCTTGAAACGCTTAATCCTGCTACTATTGTGAACTGAACATTAGGGAGGAATCTGAAGCCATGACAACAGCTTGCTTCTTGAAGACTCTGCTCTGGGCCACTCTGGAGGCATCCCCACTGCCCAGGCCAAACAGTTCAATGCACTCAATTACACAGCTCCTTCTCTCTATGGAGCACTGGATTTAATGCTCTTCATTTAATGAGGGAATCTCAAAGTGTCTGAAATTTGGGCTCACCTCTGTTAAACACATGCAGGTTCAGCAGTTTATCTGGCATTTCCCAAAGCTTGTAAAAGTTCCATCCAGCTTTCCAGTTTAGGTAAGAGAAATTGGTAATTCTGACATTGTAAATTCTGGAGAATGAAGATTGTGCAGAACTGTCTATTTGCAGCATTTAGATTCTTCTGTTTTGTCAATTTCCAAATGGTTCAAATTGCATAAATTTAATCATATTTGAACAAAACAAAAGCAATCTGCAAAATTCAGGCAAACAGCAGCTGGAAATAATGATAAAAATAAAAACTGCAAAAAAACATAACAAGGAAACCTGTCACCTGAGATTCTAATTTCAGTAGCCATATGACAATAGTCCAGAATACTGCACATTAACAGATGACAGGAAAGTCTTGGACATACAACATGTGATTTACCCTGTAGAAGCTACAAATACATGGTTTCACTAAGACATTTGGTCTTTCTGAATGAATCACATACATGTAAATCCCAAGTAATACATAGGGTAAAAAAATTAAGACTGTGGCAAAATACACACATTATCATGAATAGAGATCCAATTATTTTCTAGTAAAAGCAATCTTTGTCTAACCTATTGAATATTTAGGATAGTAGATATTTGACTTCCCCTTTCCCCCCCCCACTGGCTAGAATAAAGCACAAAGTGGACAAGAGGTATATTGTGAGAACTTCCATGGGTTTAAATCAAACTCTGAATAGAAACTTTCATCAAGATTCACAGCGTCACCAACACGAAGATTCTGCACCTAAATATGGTTTGAGCTACTCAACTAACAAGACAACATACAGACCACTATCAGTCAGCATGAACATTCCTTTTAAAAATGATGAAAAAACAAACACTCCTTCAGCAGCAGAGACTGGTGGAAAGCTGGGTATCCCAGGACTAATGACTTAGCATTGAAATCCAAACAGAAGTGGAGAGTCAGGTCACTTCTGAGTGAGCCTGACTCCAGGCAGCATGAGGCTGAGGCGTGCACAGGGTGTTCTGCAAGCTCTGCTGGCTGCCTGGATTGTTTGTTCTCCCTGTGCAAGCAGCACTAAAACGAACACTCAGGAAACACAAGGTACAGGGAGTTGGTCGGTGAGAGAGCAAAATCGGGATATGTAAACAAACTAATGAGATCAGTGCAAACAGCAATAGCACACTGTGTTTCAAGACGTATGTAACTTATTTGGTAATTTCAGGCTACCCTTAAGCATCCTCGCTCTCCTCCTAAGCAGCACAAGTACATGAAATAGTTTGGCTACAAAACCATTCCTTGATTAATCTCATAAGTTAAAAATATGCCAGCATTAAAAGTTGTCTGTCACACTATATAATTGCAACTGCATCCTGCAATGTTTTCAGTGCTTAGAAAACAAAATTTTTGACATATTTTTATATTTGTGGATGCAAAAAATATGTTCCTTGACATTCCATCTCCTTTTCCCAAAACTAGGATGCCAATGATAAGGAGGTCTGTTAACACTGTTTCATTACATACTCTCTTGTCTCCACTGACAAAGACTTCACATAGTATTTTATGAAGACCAGAGGACTGGAGAAAATTTCTGACTACAGAAGGAATGCCATATCACTGCAGAAAATATCTTGAAGAAAAAAAAACACAAAGAAAAAAACTAAAAAACAAAACAAAGCAACCAAACCCCACAAAACCTACCAGACCCCTAATATTTGGGTGCTATAGCTGTTCATACAATTGTGCCATCTTCTCAGGGGCCCTGCCTGAAAGTAGCAAGATCACACTGTAAAACTAATTTTTTCCCCCGTATGTTTTGCCAGTGGATCATATGACACAATGAATAAATAGTCTGTAGGACCAACAGCAGCCAGAAAAGAGCTTCTGTCATTCTTACCTAAGTAAGGGACATGACTAAGCCCATTCCACTCATGATCTCCACTTCTCCAGGGACACAAAGACACAAAAATAAAAGGTGCAATGACCTCTACTGTTTCTAGTTAAAAGTGATTTTCTTTTCCCAAGAACAGGCACATCTAGAGGCATAGAACAGCAACATTTCAGCTTACTATGGGGAAACTGAGGTTTGTTTATAATCATGTGCATAATTATTAGAAGAAAATTATCTTCAGATTTTTTTTTCTTGTGGTATAAAATCATGCTACCCATGGAAAAGCATTTCCTTTTACAATATTATGCTAATTTTGAATTATTCTACCCCACATGCAGACACACTCACTGTCACTCATACTAAAAAAACAAAACAAAATTAACTATGGCATCTGAAATATTTAACAGTCAGAATTTTTTTTCAAAATACTAACATAATATTTAAATTATTAGTCTGTGGAGTCATTCTCTCCGAAACTAACTTCTTCACAAAAGGAACTCCCTGTATTTCTCATTTTTTTTAAAATTCATAAAAATTGTGTCTAAGTTGTCAATTTTAAGTGACCTGAACTTATTTACATGCACAAAGCAGAGAAGAGTGTGTTTATAATGGCTCAATACAGGCAGCCCCATGAAGCAAGCCAAGCATTCCTGCTGGTCTTACATATAATCAATGAGCCTGCAGTGCATTCACTGATGAATTGGACAATGAGACTGAGGGTCTGAGTCATATTCAATCAACTCCATTTCCAGCAGCCTGTCAGGGATGACGGCAGATCTATTTTGCAATGCTGTACACATCAACCCAGTTGGGAGAATGTGTTTTTATGTGTGTGTCTGTGTATATAAATGTGTGTACATATATAAAATAAGTGTGTTGGTGTATATGTAACGATAAATTGATGGATTTGTTCAAGAGTACATTTCAATGCAGCTCCTTGTTTGCCTTTTCTTAGCAACTGCATGTCCACCGAAAAGCTTTTTTCCAGTAACAAGAAAATTAAAGTAGAGAAGAGCATATTCATAAAGTTGTGGCCATTCAGACTGAAGATAAAAACATGACAAGATGGTAGATGCTCAGCTAAAGAGATGTGTCTCAGGGGCAGACCTCTAAATGGTCTATTAGATAGGATGAGATAGTAAATCTAATTTGCCAAAACGCAGGCATGCTCATCAACGTTTCATGCTGTCAATATTCCATGCTAGCTTGCAGCCTTGATAGAGTTCCCATAGTAATGAGCCTGAGAGCTTGGGAGGATTTGGCTATTCTGTAGCCAGTCACCCTTTGTCTCACCAGTGAATTAGAACTCCAGAATGTGCTCCACACACTGGCTGAGCAAACAGCC